TACCCGCTTGCCCCTGGCGTGGATCGCGGTGGGTGAGGTGTTCGTGGGGTACTGGAGCGGGAGTGAAGAGCCGTACCTGCTTGTCCTTGGCGTGGAGAGTGGTGGGAGCCGTCTTGGGCTGCGGGCGCTGGCGCGGCACGAGCTTCTTGAGTTTGCGCCCCGTGTAGCCGCCCCTGCGCCGCACGCGCTCCGCCGCGGGGCCCTTCAGCCCCACCATGCCCACCTGGCGCAGGTACGGTGGCACCGCGTGGCGCGGGTTGCGTTCCAGGAACTCGCAGAACTTCTGCACAGACCTGCGCCCCGACGCGCGCTCAGCCCTCCCCGCAACGATGCGCGCGCGGCACTTAATTAGCCGCGCAGTTCACTTAATTCTACCACGGATTACTTAATTCAAGCATGCTTCTGTTACTACAGCACGCGTTACTTAATTCGAGATGTAACTGCTCTTGGATACATTGTACCCGGGGAATCGCTTAGGACAACTGCAGTCTGTGGGGAAGAATTTCCGTTTTGATGTATTTGTAAGATTAAGTGTTACGTAATTAGAACTAAGCTTCTTCTTCGAACAATTCCGCTCTTGATGGGCTTGTGGTATGTGCAATTCACCCTTTATTGACACTCAGTCTGCGCTTGATGAAATTCCTCACATGAGTTTCTGGAATAGGAAGGGGAATCCTAATTGGAAATAAGCCTGTCGTTGGAATACTTTTTTGTTACTGTATTGCTCATCACCTAGTTTCTATAACATTAAAAAAAATTAAATATTTAATAAGATCTGGAGGTAACATGATGGGATCTTGAAGCACCTATTATCGTCTTGGTTGTTCAAAAGTTTTCTGCCAAGTGTGGCAATTGCTCCATTTCTCGAAACATTTTGTATGTTACTTGCACATCCCCGCAGTCGTTGTTCTGCCCTCTCTCTCCCCGTCTTTCCCCTCTCTCTTATTTCCTATTTTTTCCTCTCTCTCTCTCTCTCTCTCTCTCGCTATCTCTCCATTTCACGCCGCTTCCTGCTTCTTTACTCCCAGGCCTTGTCCCTCGTGACATGGCAAAGCGCAGCAACAATGAAGACCATATGAATTGGGAATTGAATAGAAATAAATATTGTGCTGCAGCATTTTTTCTACAGGAGTTACAACAAATTGAATAGCATAAAAACTCCATGAAGTATCGCGTAGATGTACCAACTTTTATGTAGTTCAGTTAAACGGAGTCGGAGTTAATCGAATTCGAACATACCAACATACATTTTTACATATAGACAAATATTAAAGAAAATGCAAAATGTAACGGCGTATGCATTCATTGAAAATCCAGGTGAAATGATTTCTCGTCCTTGTGAGATCATTTGAGAATGAAAAAGGAACCTACCTTAGTTCATCTTCGAAAATTTTCAAAGGACAACGTCTAACAATAGTTACAGGAAAAGCGGAGGAACAGATTTCCTTTTCATTATACATATACTTATTAATTTCCTAATTATTTGTTTCTAAATTTTTCAACGATCGTTCATTATTATCTAGTTAGCATTCACATATCAGTTTTAGAAATTGTTAACAAATGTTAGACTGGCTACACAACTTTGTACGAAGTACTAGTAGTTTTGCAAGAAGTTATGAATTTAACTTATAATGTTTTTTGAAACTACTCTAAACACTGTCATTCCTTCGAATGCTGTAATACAACTCGAAACCACATCTCAGTGCCTCACGGGTTTCATGTCAGTACTTATTGTCAGTGCCAAAAATGGGATATTGGGAACCAAAACTTAATACGTCTATTAACAGTGAGTACAACGCATCTCTACCCTTGTGTACTTCAATGTCTTTGTTTAGAGAAGGAGTTACCGGCTGAGTTTGACCTAGAGTGAGCATTACCTCTGTCTCTGCATCTGGCGCCCGAGGACACAGTCCGAAAGGTCCTACGGCTCGAGTACCGACAGTGCCCTATCTGCCACACTTGTTTGATAGCTATTCGAATGTAGCCTCTGTCTGGGGGAGAATTCGTGAGCCTGCAACCTGATAGGAAAATTAACGTGGTTTCTTTGATGAATTTCAGGCATGAACCTGAGCAATACAGGGGTGTTATGATTCAGAGCCGAAGCGATGCTCTACTGAGGCGGATATCTGAACAAGAAGTTGACCGGCAGACGATGTGTACTCGTACATTGGCGCAGGATCTCACCATATAGATAAAGGGGTAGAAATTATCGCTATGACCCGAAACAAAATATTCTCTATATTAACAAGACTAATGGCCATAGGAGTTTACGTGCGACAAACGTCAAAGAAATGTCAAGAATTACTGTTTCATCATTTAGATCTTTTATTATTCGAACATTTCTGAGCCCTAAGTAGTAGCTTCGTCTTTCAGGTATTTAAAAAAATAATTCGAAACTGTAATAATGGGTAATTGCTTCATGGAAACTCTCGCGTTCTCTTACAGCCCCATCTGCCCTTAAACGCGTTAAAAACTTATTTTAGTATTTTTCCATGAAGTATGCAAAGCAATTTAGGGAACGTTGAACTGGTTTAAAAAAAATAGACATCTGTGTCCATGTGGTAAGGGCAGCATGATCAGAGAATGTTCAAAATAGTTTTTTCTAACTTTCTCTAGTAGAAAGTTATTGTAAAATGTTGTAATTTGTTTTTATAGATATGTAGCACGGGTTGTTTGGTATAATATTTACGATAAGAGTGGTAAAAACATTTTATTTTCGTAGTAAGAAAGGCCAATGAAAAACAATTTTACCACACGTGTCCTACATAGTGTTTAGCCAGACTTACTGAGTCTATTTTATTTAAATTTCAACACAAATTAATTATTGACAATTTGAGGGCAGCAGTAGGTGATTCAGTCACACTTTGTTTCTTTGGTTGTTTTGTTTTTGTTTCACAAATTTATCTGAACACTCAAGCATATTTTTCACTAGAACTAAAAACTGAACGTTTAGCTCGCAATGCCTGCTATGAAAGAATCGCGTATATTACTGTCTGTCTGTGCTTGGCGCGACAGCTCACAAGCGTCGCGGCAATGGGTTAACGGGGTACGTGTGGTTAGCACAAAGATTTCCCCATGCCGTGTTCTGGTCTTCTCAACTTGGGAAGTGAGTTTCCTCATTGTGTCACAGTAACATATACTGAAACATTGCAAGGAAAACGCACACTACAATCTTGCCCGACCGGGAACCAAACAAGGGGTTGCATCATGGAAAGCGAGCATACTGACTAATGAGCTAAACCGCGGGGACTCGCTTTTACTACTGGCTGCCTAAAAACAACACTTTTCCTAAGGTGTATGGGATGGGCGGTGGGCGAGTATTAGGGTGCGAATGAAAGAAGAAAGAAAGAAAGAAAGAGAAAGAAAGAGAAAGAAAGAGAAAGAAAGAGAAAGAAAGAGAAAGAAAAAAGAAGAAAGGAAAGAAAGGACAACGAAAGAAAGAAAAGCGGAAAGAAAGACAGGAAAGCAGAAAAGAAAGACAGAAAGAGAGAAAGAAAGACCAGCCAAAGAAGACAAAGAAAGTAGA